CGTTTCGCTCAACACATCCTCAACACATCTTCATGCTACACATCCGCCTGGGTGACCTGGACACGCGAATACAAGCGTCTCGCTCGAGACATGCTCAGCACATTCTCATCTTAGACATCCCGTCCGCCTGGGCGACCTGGGCATGAGAAAGCAACCTTCTCGCTCGAGACATCCTCAACGCATCTTCGTGCAACATCCGCCTGGGCGACCTCGGCACGTGAAAACAAGCGTTTCGCTCGAGACGTTCTCAACGCATCCTCATGTTAGACATCCGCCTGGGCGACCAGGGCACGTGAAAACAAGCGTCTCTCTGGAGACATCCCCAACAACATCTCATGCTAGACAGCTGCCTGGGTGACCTGGACGCGTGAAAACAAGCGTCTCGCTCGAGACATCCTCAACGAATCCTCATACTAGACATCTGCCTGGGCAACCTGGGCGCGTGAAACCAAGCGTCTCGCTCGAGACATCCTCAAGACCTGGGCACGTGAAAACAAGCATTTCACTTGGGACATCCTCTGAATCCTTGTCCCCAGGAGAGGACGATCTATCGCACAACAGAAGAGTTTCGGTCGAGATATCCTCAACAAATGTTGCAAGACAAGCGTTTCGCTCGAGACATCCGCAACAGACGAAAATGTGTCCCGCACCCTGTGATTCATCGATCGGGATTTCACACAAAAAACTAGCGTTTCGCTAGGGACATCCTCCATCTTTTTAATTCGCAGGCCCTATGCGACTTCGTTGTGTATCGCAGAAGAATATGCCGGCCCTGCGCAAGTTGAGGCCCGGCACATGGCTTACCACACTACAGAGAACTCTGGGCGGCCCTTTCCGGGAACAGAGTGTTCTGCTTTACGCGGGACATGGCCCCGACAAAGAGCGGACAGTATGATGTTCTAGTCATATCGGCGGCGTGGCAACGCAATGGGTCAACACAACACGCATTATTCTACGGTGGTATCTACGACTCGGACGGCGACGAAGACGACGGGCGACGACGACGCGCGGCGACCATTGCGACGACGACCGGCTACGCGGCAACGCAAGGTGGGCGAAGCAATTTGGAGTTCTTCTCTACTCGTCACGTGGCAATTCAGGGGGTGGCGAGTACTACAGGTTCGAGAAGGTGTTCTCCTAAGGTCGCCACGCGCGCCCATGCCGACTCACAGCGTGAGGGGAATGTCCACACCCATTCCGCGCGTCATTTTGTAGCGCCGTCGCGCTTTACGTGGACGGCAAGGGGTCTCCACTGCGCACAGTGCAATTACTTCGCTTTTTACACCCACCACGACTTTTTGTTAATCATCCATTCAGTGTCGAAGAACATGATCAACCCACGAACCTGGCAAGGAATATAGACATGTAAGGCATGGCAACGTGTTCCAGACACCTGATCGGGCGACGGACGATTGCAATGCTGAGTGTATCGATCTTGCTGTACCGTGCCAAGGGCTGTGCCGTGCTGTGCCGTGCTGAACTGCGATGTGCCATGCCGCGGTTGTGCTCTATAGCGTTGAGGATTGAGCCCTCCTTAGCATTCGAGTCCTGACCGAACTGATCTGGATCTGAAGTTCGAGCTGCCTGAACACATCGTAGCTGCCCCAGGGCTAGTGGCAGTGGAACATGGAGGACGTTCAATCAACTCGACCTCAAAATCTGACTCAGCTCCGAAAGGGATCGACACGACACGGGGCACGGGCTCACGGACGCGCCACAGGACGTGCCAGAGGCGCAATGGGGGATGCGCCGGGGGACGTGTCAGGGGACGTGTCGGGGGACGTGCCCTGGACGTGCCAAGGGATGTTACAAGGGGCGCGCCACGGAACGGGCCAGGCAGCGCGACAGAGGACGAGCCCGGGAACGTGCCACGCCGAGTGGCGGCGTGCTGGGGGACGTGCCAGGGCACTTCACACCAGAACGTCGCAAGGGACGCGCCAGGGGACGCGCCAGCGCGCCAAGCGACGCCCCACGGACGGGCGGGGTTGGGCTGCGACGCAGTCTACTGCGACAAGCGTTTCGCTCGAGACATCCTCACCAAATCCTCATGGTAGACATCCGCGCGACCTGGACACGTGAAACCAAGCGGTTCCTTCCAGACATCCTGCCCAAATCCTCATGGTAGACATCCGCCTGGGCGACCTGGACACGTGAGAGAGAGCGTGTTTCACGGGCGCTTGCCTGGGGAACATTCGGCAGCGCGATTCGAACCGGGTGGTGCCCCCCCCCCAAACACTCGGTGCCGTCGATCAAAACCGGGGGGTCTCCCCTCCCCCCTAACCCCCCCCCCTCCGAACCACCCTCCCCCCCCCCCTCCCCAAAGGAGGGGGCTTTAACCCCCCCCCCGGCACAGAAACATAAGATTCTCCTAACTCCCTCAATATTAATTCTTTCGGTTTCCGGGAGAGGGGGGGGGGGGTTCAACCCCCCCCCCTCCTCCCGCAAGGGGGGGGTTTTGAATCCCCCCCTCTCCCGGAAACCGAAAGAGTTCGCTATCGGGCCTATCGCTATCGGGGGCGTATCGCCGATCTATCGGCGATGTATCGCTGGTTCCAGGTCAATGTCCCCCCCGCCATCGAGCTGGTCCCCCGTCTCCCCGATGGGATTTTGTCTTAACCGAGGAAAGCGAAGACAAACCGAGTAAACAACCAAGCCGAGGAACAAACCCAAACCAGGGAAACACCGAAACAGGAAAAACACACAAAATTAGTATGAAAACACATCGGGTAAAACTCACAACCGAGGAAAACCCAACCTGATGAACAAGCGGAAGGAATTCTAGGTGCTTGGAGGTTCCGTCATGCTGTCCGCTCGCACCTTCTCCCTCCGGAAAAAAAACGTAAGGAATCCGATTGATATTTTGTCGAAAGGCTTTCGGCCCTGGGTTGTGGGTCAGAGTCCTCAGGGATGCTCCTGAGGTCTCTTCGGAGCGCTCTCGGAGGCCTCTTTGGGGCAGTTTGGGGGCCTCTTGGGAGCCTCTAGAGGGCCCTTTTGGGAGCGTCTTCAGGGCCTCTTGGGGCCTCCTGGGCTTGGGGGCTTCATGGAGCCTCTTGGGAGCTTCTTGGGGGCTTCTTGGAGCCTCTTGGGGGCCTCTCAGGGCAGAGTGCTCGAATTGTGGTTTCGGGTCCCCCGTCTGGGCCCCCTCTTGGATCAGTCTTGGGGACATCGTGGGCCGTCTTGGAGGCCTCTTGGGTCGTCTTGGGGCCGTTTTGAGGCCCTCTTGGAGAACTCTTCGGCTGTCTCGGGCCGATATTGGGGGTCTCTTGGGCCGTCTTGGAGCTTCGGGAAGCCGAAGAGGCAAGAACGCCCAATCATTCTAAAACCCTTTGGATAATCGATGATGTTTGCCTCTTGGGGCCCTCTTGGGAGTGCTCTTGGAGGCCTCTTGGGGCGTCTTCGAGGCCTCTTGGGCCGTCTGGAGGCCATCGTGGCCGTCTTGGAGAGACCCTTGAGCGATTCTGAGCCCTCCTGGACCGTCTGGGCGGCCTCCCCGGGCTTGCTTGGCGCGTTTCTGGTGCCCTCCTGAGCGAGGGGACTGTCCCGGAGGCCCACGCGAGAAACCCCTGCAGCGCCCGGAAACGCCCGAGTGCGCCTGGGAAGTTGGGGGTCTGGGCCTCTGGGAAACTTCCGAATCTTTTCAAACCTTCTACCTTTCAGAGCTGCATGGGCCTTGGGGCACCTCTCTTCGTGCCAGAGGCACTGTGGCGGATTTGAATCCTATTATAATGATATAGGAATGTTCAGGGATCCGATCGGGCTTTGAAAACTCGAGGAAAACGAAGGCACGCCGAGGACAACAACAAACCGAGAGACACATCCAAACCGAGGAACTACCCAGACCGAGGAAAAGCCAAGCTGAAGAAGAAGAAGAAGAAGTCAGAAGAGTCCGATTGAGATCCTATTGGAAAACGATCGCCTCAGGAATCCGACTGCGTTTTAAGGATTCCTGAGGCGCGTGCTACTTAGCTTGTAGTCTGACCTTGGTCCCCACACCCTTCTCTCTCCTCCTCTCCCTCCTTTTCTTCGTTCCTATTCTTGCTTACAGAGGGTGCTGCGCAGGAGGAGGAGCACGTTAAGCACCAGGCAACTGGTTCAAATTTGCTTGGGGAAGGGGCCTTGTCTAATAGAGGGCGCTGTGCAGGAAAGGTGACCTGCGTACGAGAAGGGGCACGCCTACCATCTATGCGTTTTATGTATCAGCTTGGGGAGGGGCTTTGTCTAAGAGAGGGCGCCGCGTAGGAGAATGGCACGTCTAGCACCGACGAGTTGTTTATGGTAGCTCGGGGAGTGGTTCTGAAGATCCTGAGGGTTCTCGAGGTCCCTCAGGAATCCGGAGGATTCCCGAGACATCCTGAGAGCTTCTGAGGATTCTTGGGGAATCTGTTTGAATCCAAAAGGATTCTGCAAAAAGGTTCTTGGGACATCCTGACGACTCCCGAGGAATCTGGAGGAATTCAGAGGTGCTCTGCAGATTCCACCAGATTTCTGATGATTCTTCTGGGTTCCACTCGAACAACGTACGCAGCTGCCGAGTGCCTGTGGTGTCTTTCTTTCTCTGAGGAGGCCCCGTGACGTTCTGGGTCCTTCCTCGGCTCGAGCTGGTCCTCGGTTCGGTCCTCCTCGGTGTGGGTCAGCGGGGGGGTCTCCCCTGCCGTTGCCCCCCCCCCCCCCCCTGGCCCTTACAGTCGGGGCCCTGCAGAAGGAATCCTTTTCGTTGGGGAGGGGCTCGGTGTTCCTTGATTGTCCTGCAGTTTGCCTTCTGTGTTCCTGAGGCTTTCCGTGGGAAACCGAAGGTCAACTTATGGGAGAAAGGGGCCCCGTTCCTTACTTGGGGTTCCTTAGGTCAACGCCCCGACTGTACCTCTATAGCCAACCCGCACAGCAAGGATGGGTAACCTTCCCAAGTGGTACCCTTGCATCCCTGCCTCCTTGGTCCATCCTTGGCCACTTTCGTTCCCTATTTGGGGTTCCTGAGGTCAACGCCCCGACTGTGAGGCCAGGCCCGAGGGCCCCCGGGCCGCGCCGCCATGGGCGCCCGGCGGGCCCGGCGCGGGCCCGCGCTGCTCCTGGCGGCGGCGGCGCTGCGCGGCGCGGCGCGGCCGGAGGAGGGCCGGGGCGGCCTCGAGGAGGTGGAGGCTCGGGGGCGGCAGAGAGGGGGGTGCTGACTAGGGGGGGGGGGGGGGGGGATTTCATGGCGTGGGCCATGAGTTTTCCCCAGATCTCATGGCGTCGCAGGTGGATAGACCTCCTACCCTGACACGTCGATTAAGGAATAGGCCGTTTTCGGTTCGCGAGAGGGCGTCGCGGCCGTCATCTTTGCGGGTCCAGGTCCATCGGTTTAGGTCCCAGGCCGTTTTCACTAAGGTGAGGTCTACTAAAGGGAGGTTTGTCCACCGCCGATGGCGCCTCTTCTTATTTCATTACGTCCCTGGCCCCCCCGCGGGGCCGCGCACGTGCCGCCAGTCATGATTTGCGCCCCCCCCTCCTCTTGGACGTTCCCCTCTTGGCCGCTCCCGAGAGGCGGAGGAGGGGCTGGAGGAGTTCGACCTGAGTCCGGAGGAGCTCGACGGGCGGCGAGCATATCTCCGTGCCCGCGCCCTCGCGGTCCGGGTGCCGGGGCGCGACCCCGCGGGTGCGTTCCTCCGCTCCGCAAGAGGGGCCTCCGCGGAGAGGCGCGCCGTCTCCGCGGGGTCGCGGCCCAGGGGCCAGGCGCGCGAGGCCGCGGAGGCGGACGTGCCTCGGCGCCCACGAGGAGCAGGACATGCTGGCGCGCCCTCACGACGCCGAGGGCCGGCGGGTGGAGCGGGAGCTGCTGGAGCACGAGCTGGGGCCCGGCTGCCTCTCGGTGGCGGAGTCCCTGGAGAGGGAGGTCGGGCTGTTCGACGATCGGCAGATGGACGACGAGGGGCGGCAGACTCTGGCCAGGACTGCTTCTTGGAAGCGTTGCAGCGCGGCGTGCTGCTGGGCGAATGGCGCAATGCCGCTTTCTGCATCCGGGGGCACGACTCTCCTCAGCTGTCCAGATGGCGGTAAGGATATGTACTGTAGTGTGGTTGGAGTCGCACAGGCGCAGGCGTGCTGGGTAAGAGACGCGCCCGTGTCCTAGGGATCGGCCGTCGTATCCTGCAGCCGAAGTCCCACAGAGGGACTCACGCTTTTCCTCGGGGTAGCCTTGCGATCCTGCGTTGTTTCTGCGCTCGGTCCCGACGCCCACTCGACGAGGACGGGGCCAGGTTGGGGTACCCTGTGCGTCCCTGTGGTGTTGGCAACCCGCCGCCTGACACATGCCAGCTTCGGCGGCCAAGGCCCTTTGCGTCCTTACCGCCCGTCCTGATCCTCTACGCTTCGCGCATCCCCACCGGCCCCTTCAGAAACGCTGCCGAAGAGCGCTGACCTCTTTGTGGCCCTTTTCGGGTCCGCTTGGGGCTCTCTCGGAGCCCTCTTGGGGCCCCCTTGGGGCTCGTTCGGGGAGTCTTGGGGCCCTCTTGGCCTCTTGGGCCCGACCCCTCTCTGGGGCCTCTCGAGAGCCTTGGAGGACCTCGGGGCCATCCTGGAGGCCAGGGGGGGGTTCTTTATCTAGTCCCCCTCCCCTCTCCCCCTCAAAAGATCTCAAAAGCCCGCAGAACCTTTTCCTGGGGCCCTATTCGGACGTTCTTAGGGCGCTCTTGGGGCCGTCTGGGGAGCCTCTTGGGCCATCTTGGGGCCTCAAAAGCCCATCGGACGCGACAAGGCGAGAAGGCACAACTCATTGATGTTCCTTCGATGTTTGACGGATATTGTGCTCTTGGGGAGATCTTTGGGTGGCTCCGAGAGCACTTGGAGCCGTCTTGGGGCCTGTTGGAGGAATGCCAGAAACTATGTTGAACCATCGTTGGCTCTCTTGAACCATCTTGGAGGCCACCATGGAGCACCGGAGGCCCTCTTGGATCAGTCTTGGGCGAAAAAGGACCCCCTCACACCTCCGTCCCCCTCCCATCCAGACCCGTGGGAGGGTGTAGGGGGAATGGTAACCCTCTTCCCGAAGAGGAAGAAGGGGGTTGTGGAAGAGGAAAAGAAGAACTCGTTAGACCACCTACGCCCAGAAGGCCGGTGGGATCATATGTTTGACTGTAGTTGGTGTTGCTGCGAGACTTCGCTCCACGAGCTCTAGTCATAATGTGGCCAGCGGGGGACACTTGCTACACATAGATTCACTGCACGTGTGCACGTGCGTGGCCAAGCAACGCAGGAATGTGTTGGCTTCGTCTACCATGATATTTCCGAGATGATTGTGCCAGGATGCGAGTGCTTGTAGCAGCGTCGGCGCAGTGACTATGGAAAGCCTTGTTTGCCAAATGCATGCGGTTGTCTGCGGCACCCCCCGCCACCGCGCAGCATCGAAATGTATGGAGGATGGGCGTACCGAGCTCCCCCAGAAACGCTCGGTAGAACCATGCTGGGTCGTGTGGGAAGCATCGCGACGATGCTGCTACATACCGTTTGGGATGCCTTCTTGAGGCG